ACAAACCACGACACGGCAAGACCAAACAGGAGATTCCAGGCCCCTGGTCAACCGGCGTGCTTGGATCGGTGTGTTCCTCCTCTGCCTGGCGTGGCTAATGACTGGAGAAAGACAGGAATGTTTGCTTTGCAGGCCAGTCACAAAGTCATGAAGTGCATCAGCAGGCTTTCATAAGTGCGCGCAAATGTTCAGAAAGTCTCGGCGAGCGATGACGCACCTCCTTGGCGCTTTCTGCGCCGCGCATCGCCTTACACGAGGACAATCGCCCATCAGCGAAGAGACCGCCTTTAATGGGAATGAACTGCATTCTGCGTGACCATGCCACGTCTCGTGCAATGTGTCCGTGATGCACGATGGTCCTGCTCTTGAGTGTTTTTCGGGTTGTCCGCCAAAGCACAGCGGCTTTGGCGCCTGCCACCACGCAGTCCTCATCGCTCGCGTAGGCCAACGCTGGCAGCGGTAAGCCGTCTTCAGGGCCCCAAATCGAATCTGGTGTTGGTCTGAAGTATTGCTAGGCACAAACGATCAACAAGTTACAACTAGAAACAAAAAGCAAGCAAGTCTGCAAAATGCAGCAGTGCTTCAAAGCGGAGCTCCCCTCCATCCGGGCAGTCTGGGGGCTTCGCAGAACTTCTCGTCCAGGAAGCGCCTCTGTCAGAACATGGCCAGCGCCAACACCCGATGCGTCGCAAGCTGCGCCTCAGAATCAGAGGCCCGCGCGCAATTTCGATGGGAGGCAGTGCCAATGAGAAGTCTTGAATCCGCCAGGATCAAGTCTCAGGGCTGTTCGAGTGTCAGGCGACAACCCGGCTGCTGAAGCCAGGAACACATTGCGTGTCTTGCTGAGCGATCTCTAATGAATGCAGCATGAGCAGCCACGCGCCGAGCCGAACAAGCGCCACAAGCTCTCGGACACCAAGGTGTTCTCTGCTTGCGACGAGGCAGTGGAAAGGTTCTGGGCTTTCACGCCGATGCTTTTCCTGCTGCGCAGCCAACTGGACTCAAAACCCAGATGGTGTGAGGCCAGGCAAGGGTTTGTTTCGACTTGTTGACTTGTCTGATTTTATCAGCTTCACCTTTATCTTGCTTGTGACATTTGCCTTGCGACTTGGACCAGAGTTGCCTGAGGAAGGGCCGACGCGCTCATCAGTTGGCCCCTGTAGCGCCGCAAAAATAGCAGGTTGCTCGCGGCCCGGAGCGATTCCTGAGAAAAGGGCAGTGCTACCATCAACACCCCGCGCAAATCTCAGAGAGCAAACACGCAGCGTTCCATGAACTTCAACATAGCCGAGTTGCCTTGTACTATGTGCAACTGATCCAAAACATCTCCGATGATGTTGTCCCATTTCTGCTTCTGGCCATGCACAGACATTGCCTGTCCAACCAAAAGTTGCATTGGAATGTGGGTCTGGAGAGGCTTCTGGCGCAAGTGCTTGGGGAGCTGGGCCCTGTGACGTGCTGAGCTCGCTAGGCCCACTAAAGGCCCACCTAACCTCTTGCCAACCTGCAGCAGAACAGGCGAGGACTTCCCGCTGCCAAATTCAAAGTTGTGGCTTTCAAAAAGCTGGAGGGCAGGAAATCTTCGTAGGCAAGCAGCGCAGGGTCATCATCATGTTCGGCTTCGCTGGCCTGCTTGATCAGACACCAGCTTAGTACTTTGCTCTCGCAAACAATAGTCCTGAAGTCAGCAGAGAATTGTACCCCTGCTGCGGCGAGGAGTCTATGCTCAAACAGCAGAAGCGGGAGCCGGTGACAGTCGACTGAACATTTGCTGCTCCCTGCAACATCAAGCCGTAGGCGTCCCAGAGGCCGATGGCACGCAGCAGCGTGCTCTTGTAGTGGGCGCCAACGTGGATGCCCGGCAGCGCAGGTCAACACATCTTCCAGCTTCTCATTGTTTTTGACCTGGGCAAGGGCTTGAGGACTGGCCAAAATAGGATAAATGCGAAACTGAAATTGCAAAGCCTATGAGAAGGCGCCAGCAGAGAGGCGGCCAAACTCTAACTCAGTCTCCCGCAAGCTGGCTGAGCAAAAGAGATTCCAGCACCGATGCAAGCAAAGCAGGCACACTCTCCAGGCACACTCCTCCGGGCACTTCCCCCCGGGCAAAGCAGGCGCACTCTCCAGGCACACTTCTCCGGGCACACCCCCCCCGGCACCCAGAGCAACTCCCCCGGGCAGAGCAGGCACTCTCCAGGCACACTCCCCCGGCCGGATAAGTAACCCCGCCAAACTGCGGCTTGACTTTCTCAAGCGTTTGCTGCCTCTGGCCAATTGTAACGCACTTGGCCTGATTCAACCGCATGTTGACTTCTTCATGTGTGGGCTACGAGGGCCGGGGCGCAAAAGACAACTGGCAAAAGCCCACTTGGGTACATCGAACCCCTCATTGATTGAAGCCCTACAGCTACGAATTCACATCCTGAGCCGAACCCCCTAGTCCGTCACAAGCTTAAGGCTTCACCCCTGCTCAGAAACACAATGTCTGAGGAGGCGCCGGCGCCAGCTTAAGGACATATCTAGTCAATACAAAAATCTGCCAGGCAAGCAAAGCGAAACGCCTATGCGCTTTGGGCAGGATTGAATGTGTGGCGCAAAGAAACCCGAGCTCCGCCACAACTCTCGAGCTTCCCCTATGTGCCTGCCAAAACATGTCATACCATGTCATCAAACAGGGGTTGGAACAAATGTTGGTCTTTTGCGGGGGCGCAGGCGGAGCCCGTCAAACATATTTGTTTTTGTTGCCCTTTCAGCCGTTTCATGGTGTGGTTGGCTGGAAATCGAGTAAGGCAAGTTGCTGAGGGCCAAGACCCCCAGTCACCAGTCCCAAGTCAGCAGAGCTGACCAACACGGACCAGCAACTCACAGCACGTCACCCCCACACAATAGGCAAACTCTGACACGCGCACGCGTCGCACAAGCGACGTGCTCAGTCTCCCCAAGATGTCTTGCAGCAATCGCCTTTGCCACAGTCAAATCATCTCATCAACATCTTGGCCCCGCCCTGCTCGCGCTCTGCAGCGGGGAGCCGCAGCGGACATGGCCCATTGAGCAACCGCCGGGCCCTCTCAACCCCTGAGCTACAATGCGCAGCGCGTACGGGCTGCTCACCTCACAGTCTCTTTGTGTAAGCGTCGGCCGCAACAGCCAACAAAAAAGTTTGCCCGAGAAAATGAACACGCGCTTTGGACATGACCAAATACAACGACAACGAAAACCCTAGTAGCAACAGCAACAGCAACAGCACCAACAACGCGTGCAAATAGTAGCAGCAGTAACAGCAACAACAACCACCTTGCCAGCAGGAGCAACTACAACACACAGCAGCAGCAACAACAACAGTAACAGCGACATTGACAGCGGCAGAAATACCAACAGCTTTTTTTGAGCTCATCAACAGCAACAACAACAACAACAACGGCAATGGCCCCCGCAGCAACAACAGCAACACCAACAACATGGATCCAGGCAGGGCGCCCCCGTCACGTCCCTGCGCAAGTGTTGCTTTTTGAGGAACCGCTTGCTTCCGGACGTCAACGTTGCCAAAAAAACTTCAAACACGTTTTTGCTGGGCAATTTTCATCCAACCATTGACTTACATTGTCCCACAATGCAGTGACAGCCCCCCAGCGCGCAGCCCGAAAGCGTTTACTGGTTCACCACAAGGGTCCCATGGCACCCCGTCTAGTCTAGCGCCTCTGTACAAACAGCATGGCCCCAAACCAGTGAGCAGAAACGTTGGCCCGCTAACTACCTGCAGATCTCATTGCGTGCGTTAGACGCATCAGAAATTCTACACGCCGCGCAGCTGAGAAATCTTAATTACGAGGCCCCTGAGCCTGTGTGTTGGGATGTTTGTGGTTGATGCTTCGTTCAAGCTACGGCCCGGGGATGTGCTTGGACGGGGGTGTCTAACATGTGCGGGCGCGGGCGTAGTGTGGGACGGACTCACTTGGGCGGGGACGACCAACATCTGCGCGCACGGACGCAGCGTGGAGCGGGCGCACTTGGACGGGGATGCTTCGGATGAACGCCGCGGGCATGGACGCAGCGCGGGGCGGGCGCGCGCGGGGATGCTTAACGTCTGCGAGCGTGGGCGCAGAGTGGGGCGGGTGCGCTTGGACAGGGGTGCTCAACATCTGCGGGCATGGACGCAGCAAACGCGCTTGGGCGGCGATGCTTATGGAAACGGCGCCTGTGGGCGGCGGCTGCGCGGTTGGGCAAAATGAGCGGGAAGGTCGGCAAGGCGAAACAGCAACGTGAAGGAGAACACGCGAAGGCGAGGGCAAAAGACAGGTGAAAGCAACTCCTACGTGGCACGCGTGCGCAAAAATAGTAGCACGAGCTTGCGCAAAACACAGTGGCGCGCAGAGCGTGTTTTCCGGTATTGCCGAAGGTGATCGCGTAATTTCAGCGGTGCGAACACGGCTGCGAAGGGGGCACCCCAGCATGGCCGCGAAGGGGGCGCCCCAGCAATCACCAACATCAGCAACAACAATGACAGGGACAAGGACGCAACAACAGCAACATCAAATGTAGGGCGACTACGACGCTGCGGCAGCAGCAGCAGCAGCTCCGCCACGCCTGTCGCCAGCAGCGGCGGCCGCAGCAGCAGCAGCAGCAGCAGCAACAGCAATGAACAACCAACAACTCCCAGCAACCAGCTAGTTCGACAGCAGGAACAACGTCTCAAGGTCTTGTTCGACATTTGCGGGCGCTTGCCCTGCTTAGCTCTTGCGCGCGTAACAAATAGGCGCGTCAGGCCGCAAGAAGACCGCGCGCAGTCGCGTGTGTAGGCTGTCCTGTCAGCTCGTAGCTGCCAGGCTTCACGCCCTTGTTCTCCTCTGGCGCGGCACGTGAAATAGCGCGGCGCGCTTGTCATTTGGCAGGCTTGCGACAATCTTGCACAGGAGACCGTGCTTAGCAGAAGTTCGCATGAACCAGCGGGCGCAGACAGTTAGGCGCGCTTATCATTTGGCAGGCTTGGGGCCACGGATGTGGACAGGACGCCGAAAGTACTGCGCGCTCTGCTTTGAACGGCAAACCCCACTGTTGTTCCGCAAGAACAAGAGCCCGCGTCAGCCAGTAGCAGCAACAACCAGCAAAACTGATCACGACACTGCCAACAGCAAGGTCAACAACAAGGGCAGGGGCGACGACAACAACAACAACAACCGCAACAACAACAACCACAACAGCAACAGCAACAACAACAACCGCACCAGCAAAAGCAACTGCAACGGCAACAGCAACAACACCAACAACAACAGGCGCCAGAACAGCAACCGCTGCTGCAAGAACAACAGCCTCACCAATATCATCATTGTTGTCACCAGAGTCGTCACCGGCAACAACACGAACAAGAAGAGCAACAACAAGAGCAACAACAAGCCAACGACAGCATGGCAATAGAACGGCAAGGACACCGGCGCCGGGGACAGTCCTCAGCAGAAACAAGAACAAAGGCGAAGCAACAAGACCGGCGCCAACAAGCGCAACAACACCGACGGCAGCCACAGCAAACAACAAACAACAGGCGACCGCCGGCAAACTACAAGCAGCGCGTAGCACAAGACACAAAACAAAAATAAACCGCCGCCGCCACTACTGCCGACTTGCCTCCGCTTCCACCACCAACGACAACACTAGCGCCAACAACAACAAACCACAACCGCAATAAGGACGACGACAACAACACAGACAGCAACAGCAACATTGACAGCAACAACAGCAGCAGCAGCAAACAACAGGAACAGCAACAAAAAACGACAGGCGCAACGACGACAACGGCGACAGCGACCGACAATAGCAACAGCAGCAGAGGCAACAACAGCAACAACCGCAGCAGCAGGAACAGCCACAGCAAGAACAAGAGCAAGAACACAACAGCAACAGGAAAGGGCGGAGCAGCAGCAACAGACGCAGCGACGGCAACAGCCGCAGCCACAGCCCCAGCGACAACGACAACGACAACGCCGAAAGCAGCAGCAACAGCAATAACAACGTTAACAGACACCGACAAGCGACAAGCGACAAGTAGCAGCAACAGCAACAACACAAGCAACAGCAGGAGCGACCGCAACAACTGCAACACCCACAGCCGCAACCGCCGCAACGTGGACAACGACAATGGCAACAACAACGACAACGACAACGGCAACAACAACAACAACAACAACAGCAGCAGCAGCAGCAGCAACAACAACAACAACAACAGCAACAACAACAACAACAACAACAACAACAACAACAGCAACAACAACAACAACAACAACAACAACAACAACAACAACAACAACAACAACAACAACAACAACAACAACAACAACAACAACAACAACAACAACAACAACAACAACAACAACAACAACAACAACAACAACAACAACAACAACAACAACAACAACAACAACAACAACAACAACAACAACAACAACAACAACAACAACAACAACAACAACAACAACAACAACAACAACAACAACAACAACAACAACAACCGCAACCGCAACCGCAACCGCAACCGCAACAGCAACAGCAACAGCAACAGCAACAGCAACAGCAACAGCAACAGCAACAGCAACAGCAACAGCAACAGCAACAGCAACAGCAACAACAACAACAACAACACAGAAACACGACAGCAACCGCAAGGGCGAACGAACGCGGAGAGCACCCTACGCCAGCAGAAGCAAGTCAATGATGAGCGTAGCTGGGAAGCTTTAAAACGCATTCTTGCAAGTCAGAAAGCGCTGCGTCGCAAGGAAAGGTTCGGCTGCGCGCTGAAGGAAGCAGCCGCGTTTCAACTTGATGGGCTCTGTGCTGGTTGATGTTGCAAAGAACACGTGACAGTTGCTGGGCTCCCCTGTTCCCGCAATGTCTCCACGAACGGAATGGCCCCTGAAGGAGAACGATTGCCAACACTGCATTGGCCTGGTTATTGCGGCAGGTCTGGCAGGACGCGCGTCTTGCTCGAAGCCTGCTTTTTTTGCTAGTTGGGGCAAGCTAGCTTCGTGGAGAAGGTTGAACTCCATTTTCTGACGCTTTGAGGAAACCAAGGATGCAGAGAGCTAAAGGCAGACGAGCGACAAAGAGTCTAGGAGTTGACAGAAGAAGTAGATTGTTGCGGCAGCGGGCTTTGTTGGGGTTGGGCGCGGTGGCTTTTTTTGGGGTTGGGCCCCGCCACATCCATAGCTACACGGCAAGTGTCGATCAACCAGCCTCCTGTCCAATGGGGCGTGGAGCGCATTTCAACAACTTTGCTTTGCGGCACGCTTTCAACGTGGCCTGGTGTCGCAGTGTCTTTCCTGGGGATAGATCCGTCTGCGGGGGTTTGCGTGAGCTTCGCAACCAGACGGGTTCGACTTTATTGCAAGACGCTTCGCGCCGGTACTCGCAACGAGGCGCTGGAGCTTCTATCTCCGCTCATGAAGCATCTTGGGACAGGCTGCGCGGCTGCAATTGCAACGCGGGTCAGGGGTCGCGTTACTTATCGACACGGAGCAGAACATTGAGCGTTCCAACCAACAGCGGTTGAGCAGACGCGCGGGTGAAGCGACAGAAAGACCGTAGATGGGGGCGCGAAGCTATTGGATTTGGTTGCGCCGGGCAAAGTCAGGTTTTGGGGCGTAGACGGCTAACCAGGCGCGGGTCTATTGGTCAACGCAAGGAAACAAGTAGGCGTTGAACTTGAGGTTGCCGCGACGTGGTGTTTCTCATTCACGTACTTCCTGGACAGTCACGCGCCCGATTTTCGACTGGGAGCCGCCCTGAAGCAGAGAAAGCAAAACGAGATCGAAGCCAGGTAGACTGCTGCCAAAGGGTGGCCCGCCAAAGTTTGAAGCTGCCACAGTTTACAACACGTGCGAACGATTACGATTTGCGAGGTGGAGCTGTCAAAGCACACTTTTCTCGCGTAGCGTAACTTGCCGCAACTTGCACTGGGGCCAACGTGTGCTTTGCGTACTGCGTTTCCCAGAGCTGAAGTTTGCACTTGCGCCCGAACGACTTGCGAGCCAGCCGCCAAAACAAATCCCTTCAAGGCTGGCAGAAGAAGTCGCGCCCACGCTCAATACAGAATCTGGTACTAAACAAAGATGGGCAGGACAAGGACCCCAGCTTCTCCATGAGGACAGCAAGAACAAACCGGGAAACAAGGGATAGTAAAAGCCGCCGGGCTGGGATGTTCCCAAGAGGCCCATATGCTTCTGTAGGAGCAACGGTTTTTAACACACCAACTATCCAATGTCCCACGCAACGTGGCAGAACACCTTTGCTTAGGGCCTTCATGCTTTTGCGCCCTTCCCCGTCTGGCAGGGAGATGCATGTCACAGCACGCTGCAGGCTTTGAGTTGGAGCCTGCCAATCTGGTTTTGGCTCGCGAAGCAGCCGCTCGGCCAATTGCCGTGAGACGCCTGCCTGTGTCCATGTTTGTGCGCCGAACCACCCTTGGTCATGTGTTTGTGTTTGAGAGCGAAGACGCAGCCGTTGTTCTTTGCCTGGTTTCAGAGGCGTGACCTATTGTTGGTTGGGTCTGTGCAAAGCTTTCTTGTGAAGATTGTGCATTCTGGGAAAAGCAAGCGACAGAGCTGGTCAAGTGGCGACTTATGGGTGTGAGGCAGGGAGGCAGCGGCGCTGCGTCTAGGCAATGGACTGGTTCTGCCCAGTGTTGGACCAGCGCACGTGCGAATTGCATAGGTGTGCCAAGTGACGCGGCGTTGCCTGGACAGGGCCGTTGCTGGGCGAACACAGCCAAAGTTGCGCAGAGGCAGCCGCTCTACAAGCTTGCAGCGCGCAAGCTCTGGCCGTGTTACGGACCGGCGCTGCGGAGCGAGCAGGGCGCGAGCTCTCGCTTGCGCCAGGGCTGCGTTGTTGAAAAGCTAGATGCGATGGCCCAGCGCAAGCTTCACCCCGCCTCACTAGTTCACAGCCGGGCCTCAAGATTTTTTGCTGGTTGATCTGGCAAAAGGTCTCCTGCCATTCCTGTGAAAGATCTCTCGCAGGGCATGTCTACAGGATCTCTTGGTAGCATATCTTCAGAAGTCAGCGGGTCCTTCTTGAAGGTCTCCTCGAGGGTCTCAATGGGCAGTCAGCCCTCCTCAAGGTTTTGCCGGTGGCTTCGGAAGCTGAAGCTCACACACAAGCAACATCTCTTGCGCACGGTCTAGATGAATCCTGTGGAAGACAACAAACACTTCAACAAGGTCCTGCGCATGGCCTCTAGACGGCCTGTGTACAAGGTCGTGCCACAAGATGATTGGAGATGAGTTCTTATGCTTTGCGCAAGATCTCTCCCTGCAAAATGTTTCGCGAGGGTTTTGTTTGCAAGGTTCATGGAAGGGTCTTGGTGGAGGACCGCTCGAGATGAGCCCGCAAGTCCCTGCTCAAAACCTCTGCGCGGAGCAAGGTCTCTTGATAAAATGTCAGTAGATTTTTCTATTGCCCTTCCTTGCACAAGATCTGCTGCTATTGCAGGCGGCAGCTCCTCGAGAGGACCTGCTCGGAACTCGGGTTTTTCAAGGTGGCGCGTGGGTCTCGCTCACAAACTCCTGGCCGCTCCACTGCGAAAGTGACCCGTCCAACACACGCTTTTTGGCAGGACAAGCGGGGCTAGTCTCGATGCGCAAAATTCGCACCGCGCCACAGCGAGAGAAATCACGCAACCAAAGTCCGCAAAGGGTTGGTTCGCTTGAGATGTTAGAAATTTGCGCCGCGCCGCGCCGAGAGCGAACGGACGCGCCGAAGGTCCGCAGAGGGTTCAACTTCGATGTTACCAATCGTGTTGCGCCATCCTTTTCTGGAACCATGTTAAAGGCGCCTGAGTCAGCAGGAGGCTCTGTAGGAAGCCTGTTTTCTTTGCAGGCAAGGCCTTCTCGCATAGCCCAGCCCGTTGAGTCAGCGGCTTTCTGCTGGCCAGCCAGCCAGCAAAGAAAGATAACAAAAACCAACAACCGGAGCTTTTGCATGCTGGGGTGCGGGGCGGGGTGCAAGACCTTGGGCCCAAACTAGCCTGTACAAACTTCACAAGCTGCAAGCGCCGGGCACCAATGAGAGTTCGCGCGTTGTATTTGATTTTCATCATTTGCTCCACTTCACTTTTCTCATCTCACCCTGTCATTGTGCAGCTTCCTTCGTTTTTGGTTTATTCGGGTGGGGGGGGGGTGGGCGGGGTAGCCCGGGCTACACTCGCTCAGCCCTCCCACGCACTTGCCTTCGCAGGTGCGCTTGATCAACACAATTGCCTCCACAGAAGCTTGGCGAAGCTGTCTCGCTGCGCCGGCGTTTGATGTGGAGTTTACTTCTTCTTGATGGCCGAGAGAGACGCTACAACTTTGAAGGCCCTCGAAGCAACATGAACTCAAGTAGCAAGCACAGGTGGGAGAATTTGCGAGCAGACTTTATGAGGTCAGCTGCCTCCGCTTCAGCAAGGATACTGCCATTCAAAAATCAGCGTTGGAGGCGCGGACGTGGCGAGTCGCGACGTCATGGTTGAATCGCTGCTTACTTGGAACCGCTGCAGCGAGGGACCTGTGCTGAAACCAACCTGCAATCAAACACGTTCATGACCAAAGCTACTTTTTGGCAACCTCTGCGAAGTCAGGCCCCCCCCTCTCAACACTGGTTTAGACTTTGGTGGAAACCGCAGCCAAGTTTGAGTTCTCGTTTGATTTAGTATTGCTGGGCTTGCTTTTCATTTGTTTTCATATTGATGGATTTGCGTGTTCGTGGGTTCGAGTTTGCATTTCACATTGCTGGGTTGGATTTGGTTTAGCACTAGAGTTTTGAGTTTTGATTTGATGTAGTATTGCTGGATTTGAGTCTTCAGTTGGCCCAGCGTTGCTGGATTGGTGTTGCGCGAGTATTGTGCCCAACAACCTTTCTGGGGTTGGAGCTTTCGAGAATTTGTCTAACCGTGAGGGAGCAAGGACGGCCCAGCCTTCACGCTGCGTGAGCCTTTGCGCGGGCCAGCGGCCAGCACCTTCGCGACTGCGCCAGCAGCTCGGGCTTCAGCAACTTCAGCGGCCGCAAACCTTGGAAGCTCCAGCAGCCTGTCCGTCTTTGGCTTTGTCGTCTGGCTTGCCGCCCGCCTCAGGCTCGCAGTGGCTCATCCACTTCGTGTTCCCGACTCCCATAGAATTTGCGTTGATGAGGTGTTTGTTCGCGGAGGGATTTTGTGAAGTCAATCAAGGTTGAATTGCCTGATTTGCTCTGAGAAAGCTGGTTCCCAACTAGAATGTTGGAAGAGTTGCGCGCTGGAGAGATGTTTGTTCATGAGGAACCTTGCTTTCGCAAGGCCGCGTAAGACTTGGAGATGGGAAGGGTTCTTTTAAGGCAAAGAGCGTTGAGCTTGCTTCGAGAGAGCTGGTTTCTAGCTAGAATTTGTGAAGAGTTGTGTGCCCGAGGGCCCCTTGCTGGAGAGATGCTTTTTGTGAATATTTTGCTTTCGCAAAACCGGCGTAAGAGGTGGGAGTGCATGAAGCTGTTGCGAGGGCAAAGGGCATTTGAAACTCGTTTTAGCAAAATCGGCTTGAGAGTTGGGGACGGGGAGGGTTTGGTGCAGGGCAAGAGCCTTATTTTTTTGCTTGCTTCGAAGAAGCTGGTTTTGAATTGGAATTTCGGCCCGTGCCCTGCAAAGAAATGGGCTTACTGGTGAAGCGCCAAAGGGTCTCACCAACGGACTTCAAAGTGGCAAGGCTCAACGTGAGAACCACCGTCTGTTGTGGCGGTGGACCTTTCAAAAAGATTTTCACGCGCAAAAAAAACGAAACTGGGGCTTTCGAGTGCACTGCCGCCCCTTGACCTGCAAAGAAAGTGAGTCCTGGCTGTCCTCAGTCCGCGGCCTCCGACGTCCTGACGTGCGGCGGCGACATCCAGATGGAGGTCCCAAAGCCGACCAACGCCGTTGCAAGAGCTTGTCAAAATAGTCGCATCACAGATTCCAGAAAGTGGCTGGCCGTAGTTGATGCGCCTCGTCCGGGTGGGGAGTGGGCCACGGAGCGCCTTGCTCGACGGAGCCAACTAGACCTGGCTAGTCAGGATGCGTTCTTGTAGTAGCCTTCGGAACAAGGCTCAACCCAAACCACTGTCGCTTTGCTGCCTGCGTCCCACCCACACCAGCGCATGCCCAACGCTCCTGCCCGCGGGCGATGTGTGGAAGCCTGGAACGTCAGACAACAACGCACCATCCTTCGATTATGTTGTGTCAGTCTACGGTTGGTCTGATGCAGAATTTTCGGGTTGCGGGCATTTTAAGGTCCAAGCCTAGAACTCCATCAATTTGAATGAAAACGGTGCGCTTAGGGCTTTCCGTGCTCTCTCTGTATTTTTGGTGGCGTGTTTTTTTGAGATTTGTTTGGCTTTTCGGCTCGAGCTACAAGTATGCTGGGTCAAGTTTCTGTAAATCTGCGCAGGGGTGTGTAGCAAGTTTGGACTGGCATGAGGGTGGCATGTGTTGGGTGCAATCACACAGCGTGTTCTTTTTCGCTTAAGCAGTAAGCTTTCGACACACGTGCCATTTTGGATTTGGAGAGCCTGGCAGCGCTTGCTGAGCAAGCAACCCACAATTTCATAAGAGCTGGGGAGCATGCGTAGTGAGATCTCAGAAAGCAGCGCAGCTCTTGCAGCATCTTGCGCAAATTGACGCGTGGCGAAACCGGGCTCAGAGCAGAGATGTCAGGCAGGGATTCGAAGTTTGCAGGGAGTCAAGTGCAGCAGGACACGAGTTTTTTTTGCGAATGGGATGTGTCAGAGATTGCTCAGGCAGCCTTTGACTTTGATCAAAGGCTTGTTTTCCCGGCGGGCAATTGCAGAACTTATGCCGTGCGACGGCAGATTTCAGGAAGGAATTGCCAGATTTCGTTTCTTGTCCGAGACAGTTGTGAGACTTGTGCGGGTTTCTGCAACGTGCCAGCGGTTGTAGCAGACCATGTGCTACCAAGCCCTAAGCCTAGTGGCGCGAAGCGGGTGTTGGTTGCAGCGAGGACCATTCTCACAAATTGCCTTTCAGGAAAGGGGCCATGCGCCGCAGCCACGGGAAGACGGCTTCGGACATCTTATGCGCCTGTTGGGCTTGCGCTTGCAAAGTCTGAGGGGTCTACGTGAAGTGCTTGATACCTGCAAGCGGCTTCTTTATCCTGACCAAGAAGCTGTGCACTTCGCAGCCCCATGTAAAATTTCTTTGCGACGCATCATGATGAAGATTGACCCGCTGCACACAGTTCTTGAGAGGCCTGGCGATGCAAACCAGCTATTTCTGCGGTCATCTTTCGGCTGACTCTTCGCCACAAGCGCGTCGAGGGAGCAGCTTGGTGGTCTGAGATGCACGGAGGGGGAGTTTGGTGCCGTTTCAAACTTCGAGTCTGAGTTGCTGCTGCACGACCTTTGGCCGTAAGGGTGCTGCTGTGAAAGCGGCGTGTGTGTGCATGCTTGTGCTCTGGACCATTGAGAGAAGAGACCCGGGGCTTCCTGTCTGACCAGGCCTTGGAGGGCAGCATTTGGCAGTTTCCAATCCGCAAGGATCACTTTCCAGGACCCTTGGCGTTGTCTGCAGATTTGCTGCACGATGGCTCGCAGCCGCTCTTCTGGAACGCGCTGCCTTTGAGCAGCCCCTTGCGCATCATGTGCAACGCTGTTCAGGAAGTGCTCGAAGCTCTTCCTGATCGGAAGAGCTTTGAGCAGGAACTGCTTTGTTTGGGGTTTGCAGATCATTCGGGAGCGCAGTTGTCGGACTTGCGAGCCTTCCACATTCGCCTTGTGGACTGGAGGCGGGTGGCTTTAGAAAGGAGTTTTGGCAGCCTGTGTGTCACTGGACAGCAAGTTTTTAGCACACGGCGCTGCTAGGGAAACAAGGCAGGGAGTCGGGTGAGCTGACTGACAGATCTCCCGCTCGCGAAAAGCACGCGCTGCTGGTATGGCTCTCGAGCCTCTTCATGCGATCCGTCGGTCACTTGTGGCGTGGGTGGAAGGATGCTACTGCCACAAGTGCCTGTTGTCGTCAGAGGCTACGGATTGGAAACGCGTGTTGTGCGCAACGAGATTAACCTACACCCCATCTCTTTACACATCAGCCCAACGTGCCCAAACTGGACAGCTGCAAAAACCCTCCCCAAAGAACAAACTGTAAGCTCTCCAAAAATAATGACTTGTCTACATGCGAACATCGCGTAAACATGTTTTCTGCAAGGGCCACGGGGCCCAAGATACTTTGCCAAATAGCAAGCTAGCTGAGTTCTGCCTAGTGCCGTGTTCTTGCGCGTGAGCAGTTTTGGCAAAGCCTTCCGCGCGAGCAAATTTTGCAGCAACATGCTCCTTTTCATTTGTTCTGACACATTGCGTATTACGCAAATAGGCAAGTTACTGATTCCTTAGTTTACACAGTCAACCTCTTACAAAACAGTTAAAAAGAGGGGCCGCGCGCTTGAACAGCGCGCGAATGGTTGTCCAAAATGAGGCACTTTTCAACAAGAAAAAAACACGGTTGGCGGGGCAACGCAAGTGGAGCATTTCCACCCGTTGAAAAGACTTGCCAGCCACCGCCGGGCAATCTCCCAGATTCAGCCCTACATGGGGCAAATGTTGGGATTGCCTTTGCGGCACTCTTGCAGAACATTTGCTATCCGTGGCACTTCTGAGCAGGAGTGCTTTTAACAAAAAAGATGGGCATCAGACGTATATGTATGGTTTGAAACCCTCCAACCAGCACACATAAAAGCACAAACGCAAAAACATACAAGAACATATGGCTCACGTGCAAGCCAAGGCTCACATCGCTCATCAAGGCACACAGACTTCTTCCCCCCAGGCAGAGCAGTACGTTGCTGGCGTTCTTTGTTTGAGGAGGATGCCCGTCTCCTCCACCTTTCCATGGGCTGGGCTGGGAGGGGTAGGTTGTAAGGCAGACGCATGATACCCGTCATAACCCGACCTTATGTGCCTGGCCCCGCAGGGGCATGTGACTGCCGGTGAAAGTGGTAGAGGCGCTGCGGTAGAGGTCCATTTAAAAAGAAGCCGCCCAAGAGCAGAACATCTCAAGGACGGAGAATACAGAACATATCTAAGCATAGTGTGTAAAGGCGCCTTCCCCCTGGAGTAGAGAAGGTCACCAGCTGCCAGTCCGCGCGCGGCCCTTGGTTCCGAAGACCAGTGATTCCACATCGTTTTGGTTCGGGCTGGCTGTGGATGTGCTTGATCTTAGCCGCTTGATTGCAGGTTGGGTGTTGAAGCCAACTCCGCATTGTTGACCTCCACGCGCGCGTCCTGGGGCTGACCGCGGACGAGCCCTTGCGTTTGTCTCGTAGGTCTAGACAACAAGGCCGCAACGCCTTGGGGCAAGGAGCCTACACTGTTGTGGCCCCCACACTTTGCTCACAGAACGCCGGGTAAGAGTGTTGTAGCAGCCGGCAGCGCGCCTCACAACCCTCAGAACCCACTTTGGTCCTCCATGGAACTCCCTGCAGAGACGCGGGCTTGCCGAGCTGGCGCGTTTGCGCAGCTCTGCTCTAAAAGCTAAAATGGCTACGAGTGCGTCGGCAAGCTGATCAGTGAGTTAGAACTGCTCAGGTCAATTTTCGTGCCTCCCACGAGCGAACAACCAATTTTTTAAGGGGCTGCCGCCCTGTGCCGCCGGCCCCTGCTTGCTGACAGGAGACGTTGTTATGACAATTATGACTATGCATTTTTGTTGGGTTTAACGGCACATTTAAAGCACATATGAAAAGGAAGAGCAGCACGATAATGATGATGTTTTGGATGGTGCGTTTTTCACCCAACATTAGGGATGCTGATAATTATTATTATCATGCAATATGCATTCGCATTATCTCCAGCAGTTGTGATGATAATTGTTACTTTGCACTTTTGGCATCACCAGCAGTTGTTCTGATAATTATGACAACGCATTCCCTGCATCTCAAACAAGACACTGCGGGATAAATTCGCCTGATAATAAGCACCTTGTTGAATTTTTACAAGAAGCGCCCCAGGTGTGTGGAAACTCGGGCAGGAAAACCATCTTGGGCCTTTTTTGTTCCCAAAACTTCGATGTGTTGCTGTGGATGCGAAGTGTGGACTTTGTGCCATCGCTTCGTCTTCGCGAGAAGTAAGCCGTTAGGAACACCTCTGGATGCAATCAGATGGTGATGGTGATGGAACCACGCACCCCCCGGCACCACCAGCAGTTATTTTGACAATCACTCCCTGCATCTCAAGTCAGGTCTAACGGCGCGCTTGAAACGTATGTGAAAAAGAAGAGCGCCACGGTTTTGGTGATGAACATGATGAGGGACGTGTTGATGAAATTGATGAAAACGATGATGATGATCATGACGATGATGAGGAGAATGATGATGATGATGAAGATGATGAACATGAAAACGGTGATGAAGATGATGATGATGATGATGGTGATGAACATGATGATGAACACCACCATCCTCATTTTCATCATCATGTTCATCGTCATGTTCATCATCATCATCATTTTCATCATCATGTTCCTCATCATGTTCATCATCATCATCCTGATGAGAAACATCACTGCGCGTCCTCAGCATCACCAGCAGTTAACGTCATCACTATGCATCCCCAGCATCAGCAGCGGTTATCATGACAATCATGACAACGCATCCTCTGCGTTTCCAGTCGGGTCTAACGGCACACTTGAAACGTTTATGAGAAAGAAGAGCGCCACGGTTTTTATTGATGAACATGCTGAGGGAAGAAAATGATGATGATGAACATGATGAGCATGATGATGATGAACACCACCGTCATCATCATTTTCATCATCATGTTCATCATCATGTTCATCATCATGTTCATCATCATCGTCACATCATGCTGATGATAATCATCACTACGCATCCTCAGCATCACCAGCAGTTAACGTCATCACTGTGCATCCCCAGTCAGCAGCAGTTATCATGACAATCATGACAACACATCCTCTGCATATCCAGCCGGGTCTAACGGCACAATTGAATCGAATATGAGAAAGAAGAGCGCCACGGATTTGATGATGAACATGATGATGATGATTGATGAACATGATGAGCATGATGATGATGAACACCACCATCATCATGTTCATCATCATTCTCATCATCATGTTCATCATCATTTTCATCATCATGTTCATCATCATCATTATCACCATCCTGATGAGAAACATCACTGCGCATCCTCAGCATCATCAGCAGTCAACGTCATCACTACGCATCCCCAGCATCAGCAGTTATCATGACAATCATGGCAACGCATCCTCTGCGTTTTCAGTCGGGTCTAACAGCACACTTGAAATGTGTCTGAAAAAGAAGAGCCCCACGGGTTTGATGATGAACATGATGAGGAACATGGTGCTGAACATGATGATGATGATGAACATGATGATGATGAACATGACGATGATGATGATGAACATGACGATGATGATGAACATGGTGATGATGATGAATATGATGGTGATGATGACAGTGAACATGATGATGAACATGATGATGATGATGGTTCATCATCGCCATCATGTTCATCACTGCGCACCCTCAGCATCACCAGCAGTTAACGTCATCACTATGCATCCAGCGCCAGCAGCAGTTGTCATGACAATCATGACAACACATCGTCTGCAATTTCAGTCGGGATGATGATGATGAACACCACCATCATCATGTTCGTCACCATCATCATCATCACAGCATGTTGATGATAATCATGACTACGCACCCTAGCATCACCAGCAGTCATCACTTTGATGATAATCATCACTGCGCATCCTCAGCATCGCCAGCAGTTAACGTCATCACTATGAATCCCCAGCATCAGCAGCAGTTACCATGACAATCATGACAACGCATCCTCTGCACTTCCAGTCGGGTCTAACGGCACACTTGAAATGTGTATGAAAAATCAGAGCGCCACGGTAATGATGATGATCCGGATGCAGCGGTGATGATAATCATCACTAAGACAAGGACAACTTGTTTGGAGAAAGGGGTCGGCGGACTTTGTTAAGTCAAGCTTACCCGAACCAGTGGAAAAATCAAACATGTTTGGCGTCAGTCCGGGTTTTATTGAACTTCTGCCTGAACGCTAAAATTGAATTACAAGCAATTTGAATTACAAGCGTGCTGGAAGCAGCGAGTTGGGAAAGCGCTTCAAGGAAGATATTCATTCATCTTGGCGCATTTGTGTGGCACGTCCACGTGTCCAGCGCAATGAAAGGGAGTAGCCAAAGATCTCCTCTGCCCGCCGTCGGCGAGACGGCGAGTCTTCGTGCCCCAAAACGGGGTTTGCGTGTCAGGGAGCTTGCGCAATTAGCGCCTGCGACCTTGTGTGGGGAGAAATTGAATGTTGTGGTACGTGAACGCGGGTCACAAAGACATCGCAACTGACCCGGCTACGAGCGCAGCTGCCGCCGCTTTGGATCAGGCGCGCGGCCCGGCTTGCCGGGCGACGACGAACAGGGTCAAGGCCTGGTCCGTCCACAGGCCCAGCAAGCGCCGAGGGCCAGCGAAGACGCGCGCAAAGCTTCTTTGGAGCGCAGTTGACCGCCAGGGCTGCGAAGCATTTGCGCTTCTTACGTGGCGCGGAAGGAAGTGATGCTAGGCAACGCTTTCACGGCCCTCAAACAGCTTAGATGAAGCTGAAGCACGCAATTAAACTAATTAGTTGCGTTCGCTCTGAAGGGCCTCCCTCACAGTTGTCTCAAACACGCCGGAAAGGGTCCCGGAGCAGCCCCGACCGGCCCCGAGCTGCGAGGAACTACTCAGTCTTTTTCAGCACTCGTGGACCGGATTCTTCCAACGACGTCCCGCTTGCTCCCTCGTAATCGGAGAAGTTTTTTTTGGGCCGTGCTTCGGGGGATTTCCCGCGTCCAATTTCAGCCCTTTCTGGGGCGGGGATGTCAAGAATGCCGGCCGCTGAAGTGAAAGTGCCCAGCATCCCCAGCCCGCTCCAGCACAGCCTGCTCACCTTTCGGCCCTGGGCATCCTTGTTGTTCTACAAACTACGCAGTCTTCATCAGCACTGCTTTTTACACCTTTTCCCCATGAGCGCTCCGCTTGCTGGCTCTGACGGAAGTGCCTTGCCACAGAGAAAGGCTGCAATGTGTCTCCGGGGGTCTGCCGTGTGGGCTGGGGCTGCGTTCGGCTCCGCGGCACTGCCTTCTTCGCAGTTCCGGTATGGGGACGTTAAGCTTCACCGTGGATTTCCGGCGTCCAATTTCAGCACTTTTTGGGCCGGGTCTATCAACAATCCCGGCCGCTGCCGTGAAAGTGCCCAGCATCCCCAGCCCACTCCAAAGGTGCTATTCAAGTTCAGCATAGCCTGATCCGCTTTCCAGGTGGGTCTGGGCCGGGGGTTGGGCTTCCTGGAGGGAGTGGCCTGGGGATCAGGCTCCGGGTCCTGCATTCTCGACGCTTCCCTTTCGAGGGGGTTGGTGCTGCTGGGACGCAAAGGGCGATTTCCCGCGCTGAAGGGCACTTGCATTCGTGCGCTTCCTTCTCAGGTTTTTTCGGGGACGGGATGTCGGTGGCTTGGATGATCCTTGTGATGCCTCTTTGGTCGTCACGTTTTTACGTATTGCCCCTTTCGCAGCAAACAGGAACCTGAAAGACCGCCTCCTTCTTGGCTCCGTAAGATATTACATGGCAAAAAACGTCTGTGTTGAGCCCAAAACGGCCCTGATTAAGCGCATGGTTTTCTGTTAATGAAAGGGGTCGGCGTTCCCTTTCCGAGCGAAACGCCTTGTTTTCTGAAGCAACTTTAGTAGGCACATGCGTTTTGGGGGAAACGCCTTTTTGGGGAACACTCGGGATTTATAGTGGCTTAGTTTTCGCAGAATAAACAAATTCGAAGCCAACAAGGAAAACCCTTTTGTGGGGTTTTGGCTTGGGGCTGCAGGAGGGTACCGGGTACCTTTAATTGGGGGGACAAATCGTGGGCTGAGATTAGGATGAGGAAGACAGACGGGCGTTTACACTGCTTGCGTTTCGCAGCCATCACAACAAAGACCTGAATGATTCGGTCAAACAATGGTTTGGCGGCAGTCGAATTTGTGGATTCCCGGCTTGAAATGTTTGTAGGCCATGGTTCTGGGATTGGTGCCGATGCCAACCATCAAGGCGGGAGGATAGCATCAGCCTGGCGAAGCAAACTGACACTCTGCAAACTGACATGGAAACCAAAAGTTGCAAACGAGCATCCCTTCCCCGGTTGAAGACGTGTGTATCCTTCGCGCCGAGATGAGCGCCTCAAAACAATTGAGGCCCTAAGATTAGGGTGTGGACAAGTCGCGTGTATCAACTGACTTTCCAATTTGCATCAAAAGCATCAACATATCCACTTGCAGGCCATCGTGATGCTGTTACTCTATGACATGCAGGTGAATGCTGGCAGCATGCATGGCAAGAGCATCACCAAGGATTTGGCATTGAGAACCATCAGATGGTCTCTTGGCCCAAACGGGTCTCACAAGAGTTTGGCTGGGGTCGAAAAGGTTTTGTTGCAATTATTTGTGGTGGTTGATCACAGTTGTCAAACGCCGGCGGTGGATTGACTTTGGAATGTGCATTGCGCGTGCCTGAACAGTATGCATTTGGTTGTGGACTGTCTGCAACCTCCGGTTGTGGATTGTTTGCAGCCTCCGTACGTTTTTTGGCTGCCGCAACCTGCTATATGTTAACATGAAAAGCCTGGCATGTGAGAATCGCTGCCTTTTTCTTCAATTGGCAGGCAAGTCAAACTGGGTCCGTCCCAGGAGCACTTTCAACATAATCCTTGAAGGTGAAGAGTCGCCAGCCCTGGATAAGAGTTGCTGTGTTTGCGTTCTTCCCTCATCCTTAGCCTTTCTTTTTGCACTTCTTTTCCGTTGCAGTTCCAGATCTGAAGGGTGGGATAACCATGGCCCTAAAGAGAAATGATGCCTTTCTGTGAGTGTGGTTGTACTTGGCGTTGCGTATCAGTCGCACAATTTCTCTTCAAGCTACCTCGCTCTTTTCAAATGTTTTAGGTGTTCAAAAGACAATCACCATCATGTTTGCTTATCTCAGTTTGCCTGTGCTTGTAAACATGTTGTTGGTATTTGGTCAGCGCCCTTCAAATTCTACTGAACCGTACGCTCGCTCCGATCCAAGCCATCTGGTTTTCAAGTCTTTTAAGTTGCTTTATGTGCGTGAGCCAAGGCAAGATTTGCACGGCCTATGCTCCGAGACTCTGGCACAGCTTTTGTACCTTGCGCCCAGCATCCGGTATGAGGCGGTTGAGTTGCATGAAACATGTTCATAGAGCCTTTTCCTTGCAGCTAGCAATGCCAGAGAACTGCTCTCCCACACCACCACCCCACACTCGCACGCGCACACACACACACACTGGCGCAGCCGCCCGCAGGCACACACGCACACACGCCTAAACCCACACACACACACACACACACAACACACACAACACACCACACACCACACACCACACACACACACACACACCACACACACACACACCACACACACACACACACACCACACACACACACCACACGCACCACACACACACACACCACACACACCACACCCCACACACTACACACCACACACCACATACCATATACCACACACCACACACCACACCCCGCACCCCGCACTACGCACCCCGCACCACGCACCACGCACCACGCGCCACGCACCACGCGCAGCGCAGCGCAGCCCAGCGCAGCGCAGCGCAGCACAGCACAGCACAGCACAACACAACACAACACAACACACACACACAACACACACAACACAACACACAAAACACAGAACACACAACACACAACACACAACACATTTTTGCAGCAGGGTGCTACAGGCATTTGCTAAAGTCGTGCCCGGTTTTGGGAAACTGCAGAAGACATGACACGTGTGCATTTCCGTGCAGGGAAGTCGTTCCTTTACAAAACGCACGCTCATGTTTGATTCCATGGGAGTCGTGAGACATTCGGGGCCTGGCTAACGGCCAATTGGAGCCATGTTGAGGAGCACCTTGAGCCTGTGAAATGTCTTGCACTTTTGTAGCACTGTTTGTTTGAGCAGCTCAGGGTTGGGAGACAGCACAGGCGTTGGAGCTGATGCACCAGCACAAGGTCCTGGGGCAGAAGCAGGAAGGGAAGTATTGCAGTGGATCGTTGATGCGCGTAGGAGGTTCTCGCTATCCCTTGGATTGCAAGGTGTTCGGATTGAGACATTGTTGGAGTCAGCCATTCAGAAGCGGCAGAAGCTTCTAACAGGGGGTTGAAGCCTCCTGACAGGGCATCAGAGCATGTTTTCAGCACTAAGGTGAGATAGGCCCTTCGCGAGGATGTCGCACCAGCCTTTCTTTGTTGACAGATTGCTTCAGGAACATTTGTTGAACAATTCCGTCACAGATTCCACAAGCAAGGATACAGCCTCTATGGAATCGAATCTGTTGAGGTTTGCACATGGCCGTGACTCCCCACCGCACTTGTATATTATGGAAGTGCCTCATTGGCCAGTTGCACACCTCCTTCATCTCGGCTCTGCTGGACCGCTCGGAAATCAAGCGCCTACGCTTCGCCTTTGAGCTGCTTTTGCCGGAGCTAGAAGGCCACCACGGTGAGAAGGCGAGGGCGTGGCTCTGGGGCTCAACTTGGGCAACAGATGGACACCCTGGTTGCGGCTGGCAGGGTGAAGCGCGTGAATGGCGTTGGTATGATGTTGCCGAGGTGTTGCAGCTGGCTTGGGCCGAAATGCCCGAGGCGCTGGTGCAATGTTTTGACGTCATGAGCTGCTCAGATATTGTTTGGAGCCTTTACAGCTGACCAGCTGACTTGAGTCTGCCAGGAAGGAACCCGCAACTTTTTTGCCGTCGCCCTTGGATTTGTCAGGACGGGATCGGAACCCTCCCTTCGTCATTCACACTCTCTTCCAACACAGACACGCAAGCCCAAAGAGATCAATGTCAAGCTCCGACAAGCCTCACGGCTCAACATGGCAAGCGCCTACCAGATGTTACTGTGCCAGACATCTTGCGGCACATGTTCATGCCTCAGCCCACTGTGTCATTCCTGTCAAAGATGCGTTGTTCCTGCCATTTCTCCAGGCTGCTCCTTGCCCAGGACGGGCGGGGCCCGACTCCTTGCGCTGACGAATAAGCGTTTGATCATCCTGGGCCAGTCCCGGCACGGCGCGGTGAGGGCCTGAGCTGAACACAGATATCACGGATTGATTAAATGAGCCTCCAGCAAGTGCTAAATTGCCCGTAGGCCAAGCGACCTTGTGGCTTATGCCCCCCGGAGAGCTTTTGCCCCATTGGCCCTGCCATCTCCAAGTCCTACTCTTATTCCGTGGGGACCTTAGTGACCTTGGTCTGCTGTTGCTTGCATCTCTCCACCACATGGTCGAAGATGACACTCCCGCAGTGTTTGTCTAAATAAAGTTTAAAGTTATATGGACCATTTGGTTTTTTGACGAGGAGTTTACACGCATCTACTCCTCCTCGGACGAGCAGCTGTTGATCTTGGGGCGCCTGGAGAAATCGATGACCGACGCAACCTGGCAAAACCATCGGGCGGGGAAACTGAAAGCAGACTTGGTTAAGCTACCAAAACGCCCGTGTCCAAGGCCTGAGCTCAAAGTCAGTCTCGGAAAGAGCAACTTCTCGGCCAATGTTTTTTCCGATCAACTACTCAACAATCTACGGCTGTTTGATGCTATTTGCATTGATTGATCTGCAGCATGTGGCTGGAACACTCTTAAAGACGCTGACCGGGATTTCATGGTGGTTCCAGCTAATTAATTGCTGGAGTGCATGATACACATGCACCACCAGAAAAAGAGAAATCCGGTTGAAGTCCCCTGATCGACCCGCAAAGGCCCCGAACCGACTAAAACAAGAACATTTGGCCTCGCAGGTAAATGAGAAGTTCGACGTCATCATTTTTCATCAATCTGATTCTCAAAAAGAATTCAAGGAACGCTGGGGCCTTAGAGGAATCGTCATTTCGCATTGACTGAATATGTTGAGCGTTGATTGCCAGAATTGTATCCTGTGAATACTAGAGCATTCGTGATTGGCACGACAAAAACGATCGTAGATGGAAGCCTTTGGCTGTACGAGTCGCCGGTTCCGCCACCTGTCAATGGTTGCGTCTATGTTTGGGCTCTTAACCGATTGTAAGGTCTCATGACTCTGAGCGGCCTGGACCCTTCGATGAGGACCAAACCCTTCTAGAAAGCGACAGAGAGAGAGAGAGAGAGAAATAGAGAGAGAGAGAGAGAGAAAAAAGTAGGAGAGCTTTGTGCAAGGACGAAAATCCAGCAAGAGATGCTTGCCAGACGCTCAAAGGAGAGCCCAGGTTGATCCATGTTGATTGGTTGAATCATGCGCGTCACTGGCAGTCGTGGTAGTCTACTGTCGGTTGTGGGAGTATTTGGAGCGACAACCCCAAGTTGTCCATGTGCCAAGAAGTATGGGTAAACGCTTCGCGCTGCCCACCTGGGCCAGGCCCGATTGCGTGAGGACGCCGGGTGGCAAGAATATCAGCTGCGTGAACATGTCCGCTTGGCTTTGACTGAAGAACAGGCCAAGGGCGAGGCGCTGGGGCTAAGTGACTTGCCAAGGGTCACAGCTACAGTCGTCTTCTCGGGGCTGAGGCCACGTTAGGTTCTCAAGGCAAGGGCTGAAGCCCCCAAGACCTGAACTTTAGGGCAGCGGACGCGTGAATGGCGAGCCTGGGGGCACCGCGGCGCGGGCAGGTAGGGTCAGGAAGATGGGTTGGGCCAAGCGACATTCCGATCCTACGGCGGGGTTGGGCAGATTCCTTTGGGAGGGAATTTGAGTGCGTGCGCTAGGGGCCGGGGCGAGTTTCGTCCGTTGCTCGTGTACAGATGTCCAAGATAGTTAGACAAACCAATCTTCCTTGAGGAGCCTTGCGTTGAGTGCTGCATGTGGCTACAATGGGTCTTGCTTGCTGTCATCCCACCAAGGTCAACAAAACTGCAAAGTCCAAGACGGCCTCGCGCATTGCGCGTACGACGTGGGCTTTTCGCGAAGTGGACGAAGGTGGGTAGTTTCGTATGGCGTGCGTTAATTGCTTGCCTTCGTGCCAGCCGACAGGGGAGCGTCTGTCTCTTTTCGTGCTCACGGAGTTGAACTTCTTTGAGTTTCAAGTGAACTTCAGCCTATGGATCCCCAACTCAGCACCTCAGCCGCACATCAAGCAAAGTTTGCGGGACCCGTGCCTGTGGCAAGCTTCCGATTGCGAAGCTTTCGGCGGTTCAAAAAGGAGTCAAAAATGCCCGGGACCGATTCTGAAGTTTTGAAGACGGATTCAGAAATGTTTTGCTCGATTCTGCAACCTATTTTTGACCCGATTCGCGTTCGCTCTTGTAGGCGTAATTTGGTAACGGAGCCGTAAAGGCTCACAGGAGGGCTGTGTGGGCCTGCAACCTCCAAAGCAGGAGCAACAGTGCTTCCCGAAGGCTTGAGACCGAAGGTTCATGGATAGTTGCATCGGCGACGTCGAACCTGACAAGGGCGTGCTGCGCAGGGGCTGACGGCCGAGAAAGGATTGGTATGATGCTGTGAGCCACCTGCTGATCGCCCTCCCGCTGATCCTATGTCAATCCAAGGGATTTGGCCCGTGCCTACCTGGGATGCGCGTTGCTCGAAGGCTGATGCGGGCTGATGCAAACACCTGTCCAATGCACTCAATCCCGGGCCCCTTGCAACTGGAGAAGTATCCCCAAGAATGTTTCTCACAACTCCTGATGTGTCCACGAAGAAACACGCCCAAGGTATCTAAGTGCTCCGGTATCACGCCCTCGCTCTCGTTCACGAACGCAAGCGTGAAGAAGCAAGTGTCCGCCATTTCCTCCGCCTGGCGACGCGCGATCCCGGCTCACCATGGTGTCTGACTTTCGCGGCTCCTGCTCTGGAGGTTCTTGGCAAGAGCTACGTCAAGTTTGATCCTGTTCGGTGGCCACGCCGGGACTTCTTGAAAGCTGTTTCCTTTGTCCTCGGCATCTGCTGTAAAGGTGTTTCTCGCAAGCTCTTCGCCCCGACCCGGGACTGGAGCATCATCGTGATCTACTACAAGGAGGAACCTGAAGCACTTCGGCATCACCGTCGGCGACGGTGGCTTCTAAAGAAGTGCGGAAGAGACGCGGGAAGCGGCTCACCAGGCAGTGACTGGTCCTGGGGACGCGATGGAGTTCAAGGGGTCTCCGACAAGTACGACTACAGCCAGGAAGAGAAGGTGGGTGGGCCGTGGCTCTCTCTCCGCAAAAATGGGCACTCTATGTGGGATGCCCCACGTGCCGGCGATTGGCGCTTATGCCCGTTTCCGCCAATCGCCTTAAGCAACGGACGTGCGAAACATCCTCAAAGAAAAGATAAAGAGGCGGAGACCCGCCCGGAGATCCTGAACACCGCCAACGTGGCACTGGATGGTGCGGAACGAAGCCTGACGAAGAAGCTTGGATGCCGTGCGAGCGCAGGAGGAGATTGGATACCAGCGGTCAAAAGCGCATCTGTGCAAGAAGGCGGCCAAAAGAAAGGTCGGAGAGGAGACCGCAGAGGAGAGACTACTTGACAGCTGGGTTTTGCCGGATGGCCGTAAATGGTTGGAAGAGGGTCAGAGGGCCGCGCTGTTCAGAACAGCGCGGCCAACACCGTGGAGATGGTCGAAGAGGTGATGGCGGACTTGGAGTCCATGTGCATGATAAATTCAAAGACGCCGGTGGAATTTGGTGGAAACGCGCTGTCCACCGGATAGCTCGCTGGCGCAAATGGTGCTGGATCTTGGAGGCGCGGCAGTACGGATCAGCGAGCGCAATATGAACCTGGCGACGCAAGCTGGTCTGGAGCAAGCCCTGGGTTTTGTGAGAACGGAAAAACTGCGCTGGCTACGGGCGTCATTTCCTTGTGGCCCCACAAGTCAAGTGCAATGTCTGAATGAGCGCACCCCCGAGGCGAAGCAGAAGATCACGGAGGCTGGTTCGCCGCGGACTTCGAGCGCATGTGTTTGAGAATGGAGGCCATTTTGCTTGGGAATGGCCACAGAATAACCAAGGCTGCTGGTTTCCGGAAGTGCATCCTGAAGGAGGCGCGCCAGAAGACTGAGCTCTACAAGACTATCTTGCACGGCTGTCAGGTTTGGAGTTCGAGCCGATCTACACGACGGACCGGGATTTCCCGGAAACCATGCCCATTCCCCCTGCCTTGGAGGGAGCTACACGGCTTGCTCTGCCTTCTACACGGAGAAAATGGTGAAGAAAATCGCTCGCGTCGCAGGATTTTGGAGAGAACAATCCACCAGGATGGCTTGGTCTTTGGCGCTGAAGATTGACAGAACCAGGAGGAAGAGCTCCCCAGTGACATCGTGGAGCTGATGAGATGAGCCAGAAACTTGCAGCGCGACGCCTGCAAAGAAGCTGGCAAGGCCGTGCCTGTGGCTCGAGCGACTTTTAGCCGGGCGCATACCTTATGGCGCACCTTGCAGATGGATGTGGGCTACTTTCGGTGGCACGATGAGATGACCCGCGAAGAGGCGCCGAAAGCAACTGCAGAGGAGGTTGTGAATGCTTTGGAGAGTACTTGGGTGCGCTTCTTTGGGCACCCTAGTGCCTTGAGGTTGGATCCTGAAGGAGCCCTTCGTTCTCGACTACTCGAAGAGTGGTGTGCAAAAGGGGATGTGGAGCTTCCGAGGAGACGACGATGTGGCAAGGCGTGATGGCCATGTGTGCGGCCCACAACGAGAACGGCAAGGTCGGTGGCTTCAGCCCCAATCAATGGGCACTTGGTCGTGACGCTGGTTTGGATCTGAAGCTGTGTGAAAGTGGTTGCGATGACACGCATGCGGGCTGAGGAGAGCTACAAGCGGATGGTGGCGCAGGAGGCGATCAGCAGAGCGTGGAATTCAAGGGCGAATAGCAACGAGGCCCACATTCCCGGCTCAAGGTTCAAGGCTCCTGCGCAAGCTGCTTCCCATGAAGGAGCAGACGCAACGCGAAAGAGATTGGCAAAGCGGTGTGGCCCAGCTCGGGCGCTGGCGACAGAGACAAGGTGATCGGCGAGGAGGCCACCCCTAGCCGGATCATCTGGATCGTTGCCGGGGAGATTGAAGAGGGTGTCTCCGGAACAACTCAGGATGGCTTCACCCGGGAGATCATGATAGAAGAGGCCGCCAGACCGGCGTCCTTTCGTTGGACCATGCACGGCACGTCGGAGCAGGTTGAGAAGGGCGAGTTTGATGATCACGAGGACATGACTCCGACGCAGGGAGTGAAGCGCAGTCGTATAGTCAGAGTGTTCCTTGGTCTCGTCCTGTTCTGAAGAGGGAGGTGGCCAAGAAAGAATGAAGACGACCCAAAGAGCTCAAAAGACCTCATCAAGAAAGGGCGCCATGTCAGAGCCACAAGATGCGCCGCTGAGGCCGGACAAGCGCCAAGCCCCCCACACGGGTAAGATCAAGGTTCGCTGTAGCTGGCAGTAGGACTATATACCTCTAGCCCTCCGGGCTTAGGGCTTAGGGACTATGCCCCATCTTTGTCGGCGATTTGCGGCTGCTCGTTAAACGGCATGGCTTCCCAGGTCTTCGCCAACGATGACGAGGAGAACCCGACAACTCATGGCTGGCATGGCGTTGGTGAAAGGTTGGTCGCGGTTGAAGTGCGGCGCCAAGAGTGCAGACATGCCGGAATACGGAAGAGGCGCGCGAGACCAGTGGCAGAGCTAGCAGAAGCGATGAACGTTGAACCTCGCTACAAGTGCTCAAGAGCTGCTACGGGCTCGTCAATGGATGATTTCTGCATGGTGGGTGATGAGCAGGACGACACCTGGGCCAAGTTCCTCCAGTCATATCGATGGTCTTTTTCGGAAGCGGATCTACATGCAGCAGCTGTCCAATCACAAGATTACCATGGACCACACCAAGTACGAAGGGGCCCCTCACTTTGATTAGTTGGAAGCCCATGAAGTTGAAGAGGGTTGCCAGAAGCCCCGTAGCAGCCGAAGTGCGGGCCTTTGGCGAGGGCGAACAAGAACTGATGAGGTGCCGTTAGCAATGGTCGGAGATGCTGGGCAACACGGTGGACCTTGCTCAGCCTCAGCAGGCAGTGAAGATTGTGAAGGGCATCTTGGTAACGGACGTCAAGCCCCTGTGCAATTCCGTGACCAAGGGTGACGCAGCAACAAGTGGCGTTGAGCAACAAGTACTCGGCCCTGGAGCTGATGTTGGTGGAACGCATCCAAGAAGGTGAGACGGTGATCCGGTGGGTTCACAGCAAACCTGAACTGGCCGACGCTTGCTTGGTGAAAGGCGCCTGGACCCTGGTGGATGACCCCACGTTTACCAGCCTGAAGATGTGGAGAAGATCCGCCAGAGCTGAGCGGTGCGGAATGAACCTTTCGGCGTGACCCTTTTGGGCGTGCGAGTGTATGCTGCATCAGCCTCCACATTCATTCGGCGCCACCTTTCGTATGTACGCGGCCTTTCGGATCAAGGGATCCCTTTGGCCGAACATTGCCCCTCAGGCAACCGATGCTACGCGGAGAAAACACAAAGCTGCGCTGAGTGGTCTTTGGAACCGGAGGGTTCCGATCGGCAATCAAACTCTCGCCTCCTCTGCGTGCTGCCTCCAGCCCTGGATCGCCAGACCACTTGGGAAGCTCATCAGGAGATTCTAACAGGGGTGGAGGCGGGGGAAGGCCAGGAAGTTTGCAGTCGGAAAGAGCTTGAGGCTCCTCGGGAGAATCCGGGAATGAAGATGCCACTGTGTGAAGGCGTTTGGTGAGACGAAGTTGCCCCAGACGCTCGCCTGATCAGGAACTCGGCTTTCAGCCTTGTGCGCAGGCTTGCTAAAGGCAACGAGACATTGGTCCACAATTGAGTCGCCGAGATCCTCGATTGAGTGCTGTGTTCAAAGCTGCTTGAGTCCGAAGACTCCAAGTTTCCTATGCTTTTCCAAGCCATTCAGAAGCAAGAGCAACGTGTTTTCAAGCAGCCAAAGATACGACGAAAGTTGTTGTGGATCATCTTTGAAAGGTTCAAGATGGAGAAGGATAGGGGCATTGCTCTGACCCAAACTCATCTTTTAGTACTTAAGATGAACGGCGCCGACATTAAAGTGCTGGAGGATTTCCGCCACTGGTTCGACGTCGTGCGCCAGGCCCTGGAAGTTTGCGAGAGACCGAGCGATCAGGCCATCAGGAGCACCCTTTCGAGCAGTTGAAAGGGCGCCGAGGTGGAGAGCGGCATGTCCGCATTAATTGTGATCAAGCCAGCCTCCAGAAAAGCGCATCATTTTCAAAAGAGGCGTCAGACGGCGTCGGTTGTAGAATCGACGCTCAACGGACACCATTGGATGCTCTAAGTGCAATACTGATTGCTTTTTGAGATGGATCTAGAAGATATCAAGAAGCTTGTCCGGCCCAGGGCCGGGGACTCGTGGAGAAGCTGACTGCCCAGGAAAGCAGCTGTATGCAACGACAGCGTTACTGGGAAGCGTGAGTCGCCAGATGAGAATTCCTCGGCAATTTTGCAGGGGTGGCGTGCCGCTCCCTGTGTTTCGCGGGTGGTCTCTTCTTGGCAGACGAGGCTGTCGCCCATGTGGGCTGAGGTTTTGGCACCCAGCGCAAAGCTCGCAAGCGCATCGAGACCCTTCAGTGCCACCTGCAAGAAGACTGTAGCGAGCAGCATTCATCTTGACCGCTGCCAGCCCTTCACGTGTGGCGGACGGACTTCGTCCTCTTCTTTGGCCCCTTCGGTATCTGCCAGCTCGCAGGCAAGGGCCTCTTCACTTTGCGCTTTTTATCGCCGCACTGAGCTTGGTGTGGGCTGCCAACGAAGCCAGCAGAGAGTGCAGAAAGCATGCAAAAAGCGCCGAGGCACGCGCGCATCTGCTAGCGCGAGCTTTGTGGTGTTTGCGGCGCGGTATCCACTTCTCAACACAGCACAAGGGTCCAAAAACATACAATATCGACAAACCCCGTACGCGACGTCATTGGAAAAAGGTTGACGGACGCCTTCTCTCCATTTTCGCTTGGCCATTTTTAAAGCGAGCGATGTCAAAGAGCTGGTTCTACGCCTGCGCGTGCTGGCCGTTTGAGTAGTCAGCATTCACCTTGCAGCTTGTTGCGCGCAAAAGAAACACATTTAGTTCACTCACTTGCTACTCACACTAGATTCATGTCACGCGCATAAAGCTCTTAGACAGTTCACCGAGAGGCCGCAGGGAAGCGGGGAGTAGTGGCAGACGTATTCTAATTTTAAGCACGCTCATGCGCAGCCAGGGAAGCTTTGGCTTGTTCACGCAGCCAGTTTTGAGTCCAGCCTTCACGCTTAGAGCCGGTTTCGCAACCAGGGCAGCCTGAATTCGCGCGCAGATGGCCAAATTTGCTTCTACTACAGCAAGAGCTTTGCCAATTTTTCAAACGTGGGGAGAAAACACCTTTGCTCGAAACCAACCAGTTCAGGGTGCCCTACAGTGTGAGACAACCTGGGCGACCCAAGAGCGCGCCAAGCAGACAGCGCCCAGCCCGAGGTCGATCAGGAAAAGGCCTACGTCAGCGATAATGAATACGAAGGTGGCGAGAGCGACGATGACTTGCATCAGCGTCTCAGCTCAGCCATGCTGATCCGACCAGCTTTGGTTCAAAGCTTCCACATGCTAAGGACAGCAGGGGCCCAATCGGCTTTGGGTTTCACAGCTGCAGCTTGGGAATCGCATTTGGAGCTGGGGTGTTCCTTTCTTGACACGCATCTTTCTTGAGTTGCACAGCCTGCAGGGCTTAGAGCCGCTTCTTCCCAGGCCATGGCGGCAGCAGAAAAGAGAGCCAAAGCAACCAAGTTTATGCACGAGAGGCAGGCTTCAGCATCCTATTGAAAAATGCGCCCAGAGAGAGTAGCGCCCCTGCTGCGCGGAATGCTTGTTTCTGCTTTGTTGCGCCGACTGCCCGGGCAAACGCGTCTCAATTGGCAAGTCCTAGGTTGGCCATTGGCTAAGTGCAGCGAGCAAACCTTGTTGAACACCCACAGCGCATGGCATGCAGCTCCGGGGCGGGGCCAAAACTTGTGGTTTGGATGGAAAGTTTGCTGGTGGTGGGGAGGAAACGGGCGCCGCCCCAACCACGATGGCCGCCAAAAATGACTGAGCGAATCACGCGGCCCTGACTTTCGGTTGGGCTTTGAAGTTGTAGCAACTTGAGTCCAATGGACTACTTGAGAGCATTGGCCCTGCCGGCAGGCGTGCCCTCGAGGAGCCCATTTTAACAGAGCGAGCTAGTGAGCGGCAGAGCAGGCGGTACCAGGCAGGGGCCAGGCTGGCTGACCCTCAAACTGCCAGCGCCGTATGAGCTGCTTGGCGGTATCACCTCCTGGCTCATCCACAAAAGTAAAGACGTGGCAGCCCTTTGCGCAGCGAGAAGCAGCAGAAGGAAAATCAATCCGGCTAACATTGTTAGAACTATTAGCGGCGGCTGTTCGTGGCTTGATGGAAGTAAATCGACCTGAAGTTGCATATCTTTTTGTGTTTAGTGGTTTGCAGTGGTGCCAAGACGCAGCAGCGAGGTGATCAGCGAGCACGGCGCGCCAAATGCTGCAGACATTTTGGCATCGCCAACGGCCAACACTCAGTTCCACTTGCCAAGAAGAACCTGTTTTTGGCAACTGCCGGCGCGCGTTTGTAACCGCACGGGTGTCTACCCCTCATGGGGAACGGGGTATGCGCAGCGGCAAGCCTTGTCCCTCTCACCTCACAAAAGGTTCTTTGGACACATTTTGTCAAGCGCCTATGGTTAACACAAATGGCGAGATTCGGCGTATACGACGCATCGCTTGAAGTGCTGGCAGGCTCCGCCCAATGAGTGGCTGTTGGATGGAATTCGTACTGGAGCCAAGACGGCGTCCGCGCCTTGTATTGGCAGTTTAGCGGCAAGTGTTTTGGTTAGTGCTAGTTGAATAATCACGACCCCTGGGTTCCCAAAGAGGCGCCCGTAATGCACACATGTCGCAAGACCACTTGGCTGCACACATGTTTCAACGTTTTTTCAATAGCAATGCTCTTTTGGCTCAAGTTACAAGCACCCATGTTCAAAACAACGGTGTTAGCGCGCGCTTGCCAGTCCAGGGTTATTAAAGGTTCCTTCTTCTGGTTCGCTCTGTTTTTTTGACTGTTGAGTGGATATCGGCCGTAATCGCTTTTTGGGATACGCCCCCCGGTCCGGTACGCGCGGTCAGCGGGGAGGTTGGGTACATCGTCGCAGGTGCTACTACGAGGCCTACCGGCGTGCTGGGGAAGGTGCTCGTGCTGCGGCAAACAGTGTCGGCCGTGCCGATCAGTGGACCCAATCCTTTCCTCACAAGGAAGGCCGCCCCGCCAGCGCGCTCTGCCGCACCACCACAGCAGCATCCAAGGCCTGTCTCCCGGCCACTGCTCGCAGGTACCAAGGGTGCCTGCACAGTCGGACTTGCCCAAGAAGCCAGTCACAATCGCCCTTCATCGGCATCATACAGTAGGTTTGGCAGTTGAGGCGAAAGAGAGGTTCCGTTCAAAGGTGCATCAAAACCACTCTCCTCTGCGAGAAGGTGCTCAGGAAAGCCGGCAGATTCATCCACAAAGTCAACGATAGAGCCTTCCACCATTGGGGGGGTACCGCTGTTTGGCGACACAGCGCTTACCTATCGGCGTGTGGGCCAAGAAGGTGAGGCTGCCGCTTTAGCGCAGGTTCGCGCTCGTGCTTCGCGGGTGCAAAACTGGTCAGGAGGGTCTCCAACAGAGCCCTCTACGACGCGCTTGCGGAGCTGGGTCAACACTTGCGCAACCCTCGCAGCTTACTCCGCAGCACGAGTCCTAGACATCACCGGTTACCTTACCGAACCCCAAGGTTGCTCTTCCCGAGGGCTGCAGCTTAAGCGCAGAAAGGAAGAGTGTGGCAGGTCGTAGCTCCCAAGGCGCGACATCAAGTGTCCGGAAGCGAAGTGCAATTTGCCCGCTACCAGTTGTAATGTAAATCCGTTTTTGCCTGGGCCGCAGCCAAAGCGCGGTCAGCCGAAAGGTTTCGCAGGCCATGGCCTTCGACGCAGGTCCAACTGGCAATGTAAAGCGCAAGTGCTGCAAGGACTTCAGCCGCCCAACCGGAGGGTTGTGAAGAAAGCTTGGAGTAAAGCATCGGGCCCGACGGGCGAAGTGCTTGGCCTTCCAGCATGGCCTTTTTTCAATCTAGTCGACCCCAACCCCCCCGCCCCGCACGCCGTGTGACTACCCAAGCCCTCCTAGACACCAGGTCTAAAACCACCTGCGGACAAGTGGCAGCGTGTCAGGTAAGCCAATGAAACTGCGCAGTTGTGTAGAACGCGCAGATAGCGGAGGTCTTCTTGCGTTTGAAGGAGCTACGTTCCCGAATGCTGGTCTTTGTCTCCGCTGCGCTGTCAGCGCCGAGCAGGAACGGAAGTTCTGCCAGCAAGTTAGCAGCGCAGCTCATGACTTGTCTGCTTCGCATCTTCAGGACAGCTGCGCGCAGGTGTTGGTGGCATTCTGAAGGTCTCTCACTAAGAGAACCAACCCACAGTCCTGGAGCCTGCTGCGAGCAAATGAGAATGCTGCGTCTGCCAGCACCGCGTATTTGAACCTGAGATTCAACTACGCAAAGTTGGACATTTGCAGACTTTTCTGTGACCCCACCGAAACCACGATTCACTGCTATTCGCGTAGGATTTGCACAATTCCCAACCCATGTCCAAGAGAGACCATCATTCCGTCCGGGCAAACCCCCCCGGCCTGCCATCCTGCATGACAAACGATAGGCGTGGGTCAAGTCCATCTTTTGCCACCGCGCGGCAAGTTCATGACGTCGCATGAGATTGCGGGGCATCAATGAGGTCGCGGGAAGATGCGAGTTTCCAGTCGAGCTGCTGGAGCTGCAGGAGAAAAAACATGTGGAATGCGCCGCTGTGTTGTCCCTAGAGGTCAGCTTCCTATTCCTCTCAAGCGCAGCAGCACTCATTTTACTCTCTGGGGCGGGGGGGGGGGAGCGTTTGTTCAGGGTTGAGGGTTGCGGGCTGAAAGATATGGGAGGGGGGTTGTTTAGGGCTCAACCCGGACAACCGTGCATCTGTCTGTATAAACAAGAGGAGTCCTTGAATAGCTTCAGCCCGAGCTTTCCTCTGAGAATAAAATGCGTACCGCGGAAGGTGACCTCTAAGGCTAGACAACACAGCTGCAATTAAAACCAACCTTAAGTTCAAAACCATTCTTCAAACTTTTGCAGAATGGTTTTAGCTTAAGGCGCTACGATCTCAGTTGCAGCTGCGTAGTCTACCCGTAGAGCTCAGCACTTCCATTTATTCTCACGAACGGCGGCGAACCTCTGCTCTTCAGGCTTGAAAGTTTGTTGAACCGTATGGAGGGGGGTTGGGAAAAGTTCAAGCCAAACAGCCGTGCATCAGCCGTGCATCCTCCGGTGAGAACAAAATGAGTGCTGCCGTACCAGACGGAAATAAGAAGCTGAATTCTAGAAGCATGAGTTTTCTTCCTGTTGCAAGGAATGGGGCCCACAGTTAGAACATCGGCAGATGCACGGGCTTGAACCTATGTTTGAAGCAAACCTTCAACTTGACCTCGAAGGCTTGCAAACCAATTGCGCGGAGTAGAAGCCAAGGGTGGCAACTAAAAGGCGTGGCCGCAGTTTGGCAAACGCGCCCGGACTCCCGCCATGCATTCATGGCGGGCACCGGTGCGTCTGCCAAACTTTTGAAAAAGGCGTACCTTTGCGGCAATGGGTTTCAAGTCTTCAAACTTTCAACTTGGCCTGGAAGGCTTGCAAACAAATTGCGCGGAGTAGAAGACAACGGTGACAACCAAAAAGCGTGGCCGCAGTTTGGCAAATGCAGCCGGACTCCCGCCACGCATTCATGGCGGGCCCAGGTGCGTCTGCCAAACTCTTCAAAAAGGCGTACCTTTGCGGCAATTGGTTTCAAGTCTTCAAACCTTCAACAATGCGGAGTAGAAGACAACAGTGACAACTAAGATGCGTGGCCGCAGTTTGGCAAATGCACCTGGATGCCCCGCAAATGCATTCGCAGGCATCGGGGGTGTATTTGCCAAACTCTTGAAAAAGGCGTGCCTGTGTGGAACGTGTCAGTTGTAGCTGCCCTTGAGCAACCTTTGTTTGTCATCATGCGTCCTGCCGGAGTGTTGTCAGTTTGTTGTCACTCAGCATTGCCATGACGCGCTCAAGTTGCCAAATAGTAAGCCTGACTGCGATGTCGCAGTCTAGCGATGGACGACGGCACGTGAGAAAGTGGTGCAAATTATTCGGTGGGCGAAGGTCGTCGAGTCAACTAACAATTAATGTGAAGCGCAAATGCTGCAAGGACTTCAGCCGCCCAAACCGGGGGGTTGTGAAGAACACAGCTGAGGCAAAACGAACTCGAGTAACGCGCCGGGCCCGACGGGCGAAGATGTTTGGCCTTAGTGAAAATCTGGGTGTTGCCGGCGTCGCTGGAAAGGAGAAACATTTCGAAAGCGCCTCCTTGGCCGCTTCAAAGAGAAGAAGATCTCGTTGTGCTTGAGTGAGGCCGTGTTGGAAAATGAGCGGAAGAAGCTTGGGGCGTGTCAGGCAGCTCTCATTTCGCAGGACGCACGCGCGGAGATGCTGTCTGTCAGATTCGCATGTGTGTCAAGGGGCGAGAAGAAAGCCTCCGCCTGGGTGACGCGGGAAGCCGCCAAAGTTTCGCAAGAAGGCCAAGGCGCATGTTCGCCAAAGGGTGGAACCTAGGCAACGCCTGCAACGCCTTTCTATGCTGTTACGTTGCTTTGGAAGGACAAGACAAATGGTTTGTTCGCCCTGACGCTGCTCAGGAAACGCTTAACCACCTTTTCGAACCTGACGCTTTTCCAGCTATGAAGATTCGGCAGCGGGACGGCACGCGTGCTGTCACACGGCCTTTTACCTGCAGCGCGAGCGCGTGTGCGACGTAACATCCTGCTGGGTTGGCATGTTGCCTGTCTAAGGTTTACGAAGAAATGGTTTCTAGACGAGACTCTGAGCTAATACGTACGGGAAGAGAGACAGTGACTGCGGTTATTTGGCGTTCGCCCAAAACGTGTTGCCTGGCTGAAAATGGGGCATGCTGCGTTCTGGCCACGTGTTTCACGTGCTGCGGTTCAGCGCGTGAGTGCGAACTTCCTGCGTCTGGGTCGCTCTGGCTCTGGTGACGAAAACAGTTCAGATGCAGAATCCGGGTTTTGAACGATCCACAACTTGTCAGTCTTTTCGCTTAGCGGCCCCCAAAACAGCGCTGTGGAAGCGCAGCGCTGCCTCCGGCGACTCATACAAATGTTCGGCGGCATGAACTCTCACCGGCTCTATGAACAGCTCCAAGACTTGCAGCCCACTGCCCTTTGCCGCCGCCCAGTTGCCACTGCCCGGACATGAAGAAAGCACTTGCTCGGGCCTTGTGGGCCTGTGGCTGGAACTGCGACGAAGGAACGGGGCTTTGCTGATCACAAG